TTAGTGGTACATATTACAGGCCTGCACGAATGCATTTGAAGCGCTAAACGATAGGGCTGCAAATCCATCGATGGTGGCTCCACTCGATAATTTCTCCATCGATGGAAAAAACTATCGAGTATATCGATGGCTCCATCGAAAATTTAAAAGGCTGATGGAGAAGATATTATGAAATTTGACTACTATTCAAATTTTTACATTATTTACATTTAAATATTTCGCAATTTATATTGTATTTGAATTTTCAAAATTTTTCATTTTTGTGTCATTTTAAACAATATTATATTTAATTGATTTTCTCAAATATAATTCTTCTTATTAGTATAAAACAATAACAACAAGTTAGAAGACTCTAGTCGAGAGTGCTCGACTAGGAGATACCCTGAACCCTCTAATCTGATATTCTAATCACTGTGCACTTCTTTTTGGCATACATACATACATACGCACGTATTAGAATGCGCTCTGCTAACTGTGCAATATGCAGTGACTGCGCTTGGGCTGCGCTGCAGTGTGGGCAACATTATAATAATTTATTTGTTGAATAATATAATTTCTAGACGTACAATCTTAATGAAACTTTCAGAACAATATTATAATGCTCAAATGTATGTACATACCAAAGCACAAGTCTCTAGTATTTGAAATACGCTTTTTACAAAGGTGAGGGTGAGGGGGTGGAAATAGGAGTGGGGGATAAATTTTAACAAAAACCGAAATTGTATAAAATATATATAAGTCTACATTTAAAATTTGGAAGCTCTAGCTCTAAAGGTGTAGGAGATATAATTAAATAACTAGCTTTCGATAAGGTTTTTAGTCGATAATAAAATATCGAGAGTAGTTATCGATATAAAAAAAAAACAACTTGATATGCGCGTGATATACACGGACCTAGGAAAAAAAATTTCAAGTCTCTAGCTCTTATATCTTCTGAAATCGACGCGTTCATACATACGGACGTACGGACGGACGAACGGACGGACAGACAGACGGACAGGGCCAAGTCGACTTAGCTCGTCGCCCCGATCAAGAATATATATACTTTATAGGGTCTGCCACGCCTCCTTCTGCCTGTTACATACTTTTAACAAAACCATTATACCCTGATTTCCCATTTTCAATGGGTTCAGGGTATAAAAACAATAAAAAAGGTATTCATTTTCAAACAACCGCTCTGTCGATATTAACTTTTTTTATGATGACATTTCATATGTCATGGCATTTTACAAATTTATCTATTTTATTTAAATGAGATGAATCATTTGATCTCACTGGATGAGCACTTTTGAGATGCTCTAGCGAATTCGTATTGCCGTATTGCCACTTGTTCTGTATTCTTTTTCGCAAAGGCAACACTTGGCAAACATTTTGTGTTGGCACTTGTCAAAGTGTATCCAAACCTGAGATGTCTTTATTCTTTTTTTCGCCTCATCAGCATCAAACATGCCGACCATGTATCAGTATATTGGTTTTGTGCAATGTCCGTCTTGCTGTCCGTCCGTCCGTCTGTCCGTCTGTCCGTATGAACGCAATCTATTTCGGCGCTATTGAAGCTAGAGACTTGAAATTTGGAGCACATACTCGTGTATATCTCCGATTTATAAAGTGTTAAAATTTTCCCGACCCCCGGCGTTTCAAATCGGAAAATGCATTTTCTGATATACCAGAAATCATGTTAGTTAAAGAGCTAGAAAGCTGAAATTTGGTATGTAGGTCCGCGTCGACCACCCAAGATCACGAGCTATGGCGGATATATCTCCGCCCATTGGGGGCGTGGCAAATCGGAAAACCCTGTATATTCTACAGTATTAGAGCGGAACTTAACTACTAAATTGTTGATGGGATGTGAATGAGTATTCCGCAGTCGGTAACGCCCGACTGCACCGTTCTTACTTGTTTTTTGTTTCGTTTCATTTGTCTAAGAGCTGGGATCGTCGCGAACAATTTTCAATATCTGTGCGCTGCTGCTATTTGAGAGATCATAGAGAGAGAGCATAAAGAGAGGGAGAGAGTGAGTAAGGGAAGAGGAGCGCATAACCGTACTTCATTTGGGAACGTGTGCATTTCGTGGCAGCGGTCGCACTGATTTTGTCGTGCCTTATTTTCCCTGCTTGAGCCTCAAAAGACCGAGCTGAGCAAGTACGAAGTTGTCTGGTCTCCCAGTACATTCTTTCGTCGTTGAAAAAATTTGTTCCAGATGTCTAGTCTATGTGTTCTCTGCTTAGTGCTTGCATTTAAACAACTAATTATACCCTGAACCCATTTTAAATGGGAAATCAGGGTATAATGGTTTTGTTGAAATGTATGTAACAGGCAGAAGGAGGCGTGGCAGACCCCACAAAGTATATATATTCTTGATCAGGGCGACGAGCTGAGTTGATTTGGCCCTGTCCGTCTGTCTGTCCGTCTGTCCGTCTGTCCTTATGTATGAACGCGTCGATTTCAGAAGATATAAGAGCTAGAGACTTCAATTTTTTTTAAAATGTCCGTAATTACAGCGCGCATATCAAGTTTATCATTAAAAATCTATAACTCATCCCGATCTTTTTTTATCGATAAAAAGCCTTATCGAAAACCAGTTATAAAATTATATCTTCTACACCTTTATTGCTAGAGTTTTCAAATTTTTAATGTATGCTTACATGCAATTTATACAATTTCGTATTTTGTTAAAATTAACCCCCCACCTCTAAATTCGCCCCCTCACCCACACTTTTGTAAAAAGCGTATTTCAAATACTAGAGACTTGTGCTTTGGCAATTACATGCATATTCATGTTATAATCATCTGAAAGTTTCATAAAAAAAGTTATTAAACAATTAAGTTCTCATAGTAAGCGCACACTGCAGCCCATGCGTGTTTATGCGTGGGTGCTTGTGTGTGTATGTGTTTGTGTATGTGAGTGTGTATATGCGTTTGTGTCTGTATGCGTGTGTGTGTATGTATGCCTGTGTGTGCGTACGTGCGTGTGTGTGTGTGCGTGTTTCTTGTGTAAGCTGAAAGACGCGAAAAATTATTGAAATATCTATTGCTCCAAGGGTTCAGGGGATCTCGTAGTCGAGCAGTCTCGACTAGAGCTTTCTTACTTGTTTGAATTGTTCGCTAACTTTTAAAACAAATCTTTCGAAAATTTCTGACAGCGCGCTATGGGCGATTTGTCGATTTTGGCGACATAAAGTCGAAAAATAAAGCTAGGAGCCTATTTTTATACCCTGAACCCATTGAAAATAGAAAATCAGGGTATAATGGTTAACTGAAAAAGTATGTAATGGGCAGAAGGAATCATCGTAGACTCCATAAAGTATATATATTCTTGATCAACACGACGAGCTGAGTCGATATAGCCCTGTTCGTCTGTCCGTCCGTCCGTCCGTATGAGTGCGTCGATTTCGGAAGTTATAAGAGCAAGAGAGCTGAAATTTGGCATGCATACTCGTGAGTACCATACGCAATAAAAGTTTATCATATTTTTTCGATAACTCGTCCGATAACTTTCTTATCGAGAAAAATCGAAATATTGATTTGTTGTTTTCAGCTTAACTTGAACACTTTAAGAACTAAAGACTTCAGATTTACTGTGTATATACTGTTGATCGATACAAAGATTTCGTAATTTACAGATTTTGGATACCACGCCCTCTTCTCCCCCAATTTGTAAAAAACGCATTTCAAGTAGTAGAGACATGTTCTTTGGAATGTATGCACATTTTTACCCCATGATTGCGCTCCAAAAGTTTCATTAAGATTTATGTCTACAAAAGAAATTATTCAATAAATAAATTCTCATAATATTGCCCACAATGCAGCGCAGCCCAAGCGCAGTCGCTGCTAACTGCGCAGTCGGCAGAGCGCGTGCTTATACGTACGTGTGGAAACATGTTTATGTATGTGTGCATAAAAGAAGTGCAGAATGAGTAGAATATCAGCTTAGAGGGTTCAGGGTATTTCCTAGTCGAACAGTCTCGACTAGAGCCTTCTTACTTGTTGTACCCTGAACCCATTTTCAATGGGAAATAGGGTATAATGGCTTTGTTGACATGTATGTAACAGGCAAAAGGAGGCGTGGCAGACCCCTTGATCAGGGCGACGAGCTGAGTTGATTTGGCCCTGTCAGTCTGCCTGTCTATCCGTCTGTCAGTATGTTTGAGCGCGTCGATCTCAGAAGATATAAGAGTTAGAGACTTGAAATTTTTTTTCCTAGGTCCGTTTATAGCACGCGCATATCGAGTTTTGCTTTAAATATCGATTACTTGTCCCGTTATTTTGTTATCGATTAAAAGCATTATCGAAAATCGGTAATAAAATTACAGTCTCAACTAGAGCTATCTTACTTGCTATACCTAAAAGCTTCAACAGATCAGCTGATTTTAAGGCGTTCCATAAAGAAAGAATTGACTCCCGGTACAAAAAAAATGTTTTTCCATCTAATTGGAGTGCTAACAATTAAGGAATAGCAAATTTTTCTTAATATTTCAGCATACATTTTTAGACTTTATGCTACCTATCACGGAAAATCACCCATAGTGCAGCGGTTTAAATACCATGAAACTGGGATATCAAGGTAAAATGGGTTTGTGAACAGAAGGATGGGTAGCAGACATAAAGTATATATATTCTTGGTCAGGATGTCGATCTGAGTAATTTGAATACTCTTAAGCCTAGAGACATGAATAAACAAATGAGTTCTCATAATGTAGCCCACACAGCAATCCAAGCGCAGTCGCTGCTAACTGCGCAGTTAGCTGAGCTCGTGCTTATCCGTGTGTTGGAAGATTAAAATATTGCATGAATGAAGCGTAGAATGATTAGAATATTAACTCTTTGCAAGTTTCAGAAGATCTCGTCTGCAATAAGTTTACTCATTTTTGCTTTAATAAACACATTAGTGCGTATATTAAATTTTAATTAATATATAAAACAGATCATGTAGAGTTCAAGGAATCTTTTAATTAATCGGGGACCTAAATTCCTACACGGCTCAGATCAACCATACTCACCTTATCGAATGCCATTGGACGAGAAAGCTTTTCAATGGTTTGCTGCTGGGGTAGTTGTGAGGATCCACTAAATCCAGTATCACTAGTGTAGTTGGGCTGATGATATGACCCAATTGCTGCTGGACTTGTAGGCTGCTGGTGGTGCATATGGGGATGATGTTGTGCATAGTTATGTCCCAAGGAACCTCCACTCAAAGCAGTGGTATTAATGGTTGCTGAACTGGAACTCAACGCAGAACACCTTTCACCATTCGCATTGGTACTGGCACTGCGAGTAAGAGCTGTTAACGTGGCAAAACTTTTTTTTGTCGAGGATTGCATGAACGACTGATGTGAAATTAATGGCTGTGGGTTCTTTGTATATTGTGATATTCGCACCAAATGTTCCTGCGTTTGCTTTTGTGTTTCTATATTATGCTCTGTTGTTGACGTTGGCAACGTTTCAACAGTGATAAACGGATTGCAAAGAACCAACTGTTGTTCTCTGTTCGGTTGTAAGCGACCAGGTGGCTCCATTGCTCTTTTTGCAGAAATTTCTCAGATATACGTATGTTTCTTTGCTTACTCAGATTAGTTCTATTTTTTGTAAATATTTTTCATTTATACATTTTTTTCAAAATTTTTATTTAAAGCTGCTCAATGTTACTATCCAAATTCCTGCATATATGCTGAAATAATTAGAACAAACGTTATTAGAACGTTATTAAACGTTATTACATACAATGTAAGTATATTTGAAGCAAATAAATATCTGCACCCTAATTAGCAGTTACAAGGCATTGTCTGTATTATATAATGAACATGAAAAATTCAAAGTAATTTAAACAAGTAAGAAAGCTCTGCTCGAGACTGTCCGATTACGAGATCCCCTGAACCTTTCGTGCAACTGATATTTCAATAATTATTCGCACATGCACACACACACACACACACAGACATACGCACGCAGGCAGAAACCCGCATTAGCTGCAATGCACTGCACCCCTGTAGTGGTGGCTTACCATGGGAACTTAATTGTTTAATAACTTTTGTTGTCGATGGACGATCATGAAACTTTTAGATTATGAATATAACAAAGATATGTATGTATTTGCCAAAGCACAAGTCTCTTGTATTTGAAATACGCTTTTAAAATATGTGGATGAGGGCGGTGAATATAGGAGTGGGGGGTAAATTAAGACAGAAATTCTATAAAGTACATACAAATCTATATTGAAAATTTGGCGACTCTAGCTTTAAAAATGTTGCAGATATAAATTTATTACTGGTGTTCGATAATGTTTTTAATAGATAATAAAATATAGGGACAAGCTATCGATTTTTAAAGCAAAACTTGATATTCGCGTGTTATATACGGACCTAGGAAACAAATTTCAAGTATCAGACGGGCGGACGAACAGACGAACAGACAGACAGAGCTAAATCGATATGTTTGTAAAAGGAGCTTAAAATACATGCATATCTATGTTATAATCATAATCTAAAAGTTTCATGAAGATCGTATGTCCACAAAAAAAATTATTAAACAATTAAGCGCGCGATGCTTACGGGACGGCCGTAAAGCATTGCTTCGCAAGCACTGTGCGCTACCTTAGCCTGGCACAGCTCGTCTTCATATTTGCTCGACTCTGCGGAACTCCATCATCACTGTGGCCGCGAAGGTGCTTGTTAATTCCCAAGCTTCCTCCGATTCCAGCATGGCGTTGACTATGTTGTCCGCTCTGATGGAGCGGCCCACTGCCTCTTCCAGACGACGCCTCTCCTCCAGGAACCGTCCACATACGAAAAGAATGTAGATGGCGTCTTCCACATGCCCTCGCCCGCACCAGGGGCACTCGTCAGATTCCTCGTGGCCAAAGCGCTTCAAATAGCTCCGAAAGCATCCATGGCCCGAGAGGATCTGCGAAAGGTAGAAGTTAACCTCGCCGTGTTTGCGGTTAACCCATGGTTCGAGCTCCGCGATGAGCTTGTGCGTCCACCGCCCTTTAGCTGAGCTATTCCACTTCCTTTGCCATCGTGCAATGCTGTTCGCCCTGATAGCGTTGTGTCGCACAAGCGCGTGCGAATTCCGCTCCACGGCTTCGGTACTCCAGCGGCACCATGCCGGCTATGACAAGCGCCGCATCATCGCTCAGTCTGTAGATCGCGCAAATACCTCGGCTGTAGCTCGGCGTTGCCATCGCTCTTGACCATATTGGCGCAGCATAGAGGATGACAGACCTACTGACGCTCATTAGAAGAAGACGTCGTTGCTGTTTAGGTCCCCGCGTGTTAAGCATAATTCTTGAGAGAGCTCTACAAGAATCAGCTGCCTTTTTATGCACATATTCTAAGTGCTCGCGGAAAGTTAATCTTGTGTCTAACATGTTGCCAAGATACTTAATCGCCCTCTTTGACGCAATGGTGACGCTGCCTATCTTTATTTGGCAGTCTTCACTTTTTTGCGACTGCTTACTAGGACGACTTCCGTCTTGTGCGCCGCTAGCTCGAGCCCAGCTCCTGTCAACCAGCTTCGTATGCGATTGATACTTTCGCTGCACATATCCTCTGTTTCTTTAAGCTCCTTGCCTATGGCGACGACAGCCACATCATCAGCAAAGCCAATGGTGTGCGCACCTGCTGGTACTTCCAAGCGCAGTACGCCGTCGTACATGATATTCCATAGGAGAGGCCCCAGCACTGAGCCTTGGGGTACTCCAGCTGACACTGTATGAGTTTGGGGACCCTCACTCGTGTTGTATACCAGTGTTCTTCCTCTGAAGTAGCTCTTTATTATCTCTTTTAGATATTTAGGGATATTATATTGTGACAGCGCATTCAGTATCATATCCCAACTAGCTGTGTTGAAGGCGTTCTTAACGTCCAGGGTCGCGATGATGCAGTATTGCATCCTCCATCTTGTGCCTTAGATGGCTGAAGTTGCCAGGCCAACAACTTTTTCTAGAGCATCCGTTGTTGACCGGGCCTTCCGGAATCCAAATTGATTTGGTGATAGGCCTCCGGCGCTAGCAATCGCAGTCTCCAGTCTAGAGCAGATCAATTTCTCAAACACCTTTCCTATGGTGTCTAAGAGGCTTTAGCGCACGATTTGGGATCCCGTCCGGCCCTGGAGCTGTGTTGGTTTTCAGAGAGCTATTAAGATTTCCTCGTCTGTAACTAAAACAATTTGAGTGCTCGTTGAGCCCTGATTAGCAGACTCGGACTCCGGGGCATGAGCTTAAACTTTCTGGAAAGAGCGTTTCCACAATCGATTTAAGCTCCAGACGATCCGTCGGCTTCACCTGTTTACATGCGTATAGTCTTTTAACTACTATCTTATATGCCCTGCCCCAAGGGTCATATTCGGCTGAGTCGCACAACTCTAGAAAGCATTCTCTTTTGCTTGCCCGAATGGCCTTCTTCAACTGTCGTCTGGCTGCCTGGTAAGCTAATTGTTTTTCGAAAAACGTAGACCTACCCCGAGCCCGTTGATAGCTTCTTCTCGCCTGGATGCATTTGCGTCGAATGTCACCTATTTGTGCATTCCACCAATACGTAGGCTCTTGTTGTCGCGTGAACTGCTTGCGGCGTAACATTTGGAATGCTCTGGCCTCAGAGTTACCAATTGTGCCCAGAGACTGAATGGCCTCTGAAAAAGCCGCGGGATCAAAAGTGTCCAGCCGATACGATTCCCTCCACAAGGTTGACGCCCTGGTAAGTGGCTCACCTATTGTGAACAGAAGTGCCGTATGATCGCTGCCCGTATAGCTATCGCAGTGGCTCCATGTTGCTTCCTGGACGAGGGATGAAGTGACAAAAGTAATGTCAATTACAGATCCGTATCCAGCGACTGAAGGTGAACTCGTAACCAGTGTTGAGCAGTGCAACATCTAGTGTCGCGAAAATCTCCAGTAAGATACGGCCTCTGGCATTTGTTGTGTGGCTACCCCATTCTAACGCCCATGAGTTAAAATCTCCTGCTATAATGGCCTTCCGACCCCTAGCATCCTCGGCAAGCTCGTCGAATGCCGTTGTGAAAACATTGAGCTGCATGCTGGGGGCCAGGTAGCAGCTGTAGAGCCATATGCTACCGTATTGGCCACGTACGAACCCATTGAATGACTTAACATTCGAAAGAACATTCGTTATGTTGCCACATACCCACAACACCGCTTTGCCATTAGCATCTGTTGCCCATGTCCTAGGGCAGCTGGTTCTACAGTGGTGAGGCTCACTGAGAAATGCTACGTCTATACATTTTTCCCTTATGTTCTGCTCTAGAAGATCTTGGGCAGCAACACAATGATTTAAGTTAAACTGAAGGAACCTTAACATTTCATTTTACGAGCGTAAAAAAGTTATTAAACAATTAAGTTCTGATAGTAAGCGCACACTGCAACCAACGCTTGTTTAGGCGTGAGTGTATGTCTATGTGTGTGTCTCGACTAGAGATCGTACTTGTACATCCTACCTCGCGGTAGGATGGGCACTTGAAGCAGCCTGCTGAGTGGTCCGTCTGCTTTTCACCTTTCCGGATGCAGAGGCTACATTTTGGTGGCTTAGTGCATGCTTTTGCACTGTGACCCATCTCTCCACACCTGAAACAAGTGCCCTTTAGGTCACAGTCGCTGCCGCAGTTTGCTGCCATATGGCCGTAATCAATTGAAACAGCGTTTAGGCTGATCCACGACGTGGATACGGCATACAAACCATCCAATTCTGATTTTGGACAGCTCGAGCAGAGTTTTGGCTTTTCCAATTGTAAGAGCAACTGTAGCTGTCTTCCTAATGCCTTGAACGTCGCCGCTCAGATGTTTTAAATTTGGGTCGGTCTTGACTACACGAAGCATGTCCGCATAGCTGCAACCACCCACGCCTGAAATCGCGATTGCGTCGCTTCTGGGTCGTTTTTGCATGGGCTTGCGTCCTTTAACGTCCAGCTGTTCGGGTTTGTCTGTCGACTTTCTTTTAGTGAGTTGGGTGAGTTGGCACTCAGCCACTGGGGACTGATTAAAGGTCGACGGCTGCGGCAGCGCCCTCTGTTGTTGCTGCGGTGATCGCTGCAACGAGGAACGACGCGCGAAAGCTTGCGACTTCCAACTACAACGACGTGAAACCTGTAGTGGGCAATGGCTACTAATATAATTTGAGTTTACAGACCGCAGTATCTTAAACTCAGCTTAACTACAGCAAGAGCCCGAAAGTATGCATTACTTTTAGTAACTGCATCTTCACTCCAGATGTTAGGTTGCTGTCTTTGCTAAGACTTAGCAACTCACCAAAGTTAGTGAGCAGCTGATTGTCTGCTGCAATTTCCAGCACTACTAACAGCTGTTAGAGTGAATGCACCTGATTTTTATTAATTGCGCAAGTGTGACGCCTAGTGACAAAACTTTTCCCGCTTGAAAAAGAAAAGAAAAGAGAAAAGCCCTGACGCCCAAACAATGACACTATTGCCCCCCTCTCTTGCACCACTGGATTCTACCACTAAGATACTCCACGAACCGCCGCGCAGTAAGTCTCTGGTAGCTTTCGAGGTCGCTGGGTACGTTGCGCCCACAGCATACACGTTTTCTTTAGATATTTCCACTTTCGCAAGGAAACAAGCTATAGTCAACTATGGATCACAATTACATCGACCGCACTCCACGAAAACGCAACTCGATGCTTGTGTGTGTGTATGCGTGTG